AGCGGCCCCGGGGCCGCGGTGTGGGCTGGGGGGCTGAGGCCATCGCTGCCCTACGGGCCTCGCCCGCCCTTCCCGGGGCGGTGCGTCGCCGCGGCGGCGGCCTTTTCCTCCTTTGCTCTTGTGTTGCTGTGCCAAGGCCTCCGGCTTTAAGAAGCCCTCGCTAGGAGCCGCGTCCCAGAGGAAGAAAGCCAGTCCCAAGCTGGAGCTCACGGAGGAGCAGAAGCAGGAGATCCGGGAGGCTTTCGACCTGTTTGACACGGACGGCACCGGGAACATTGATGTTAAGGAGCTAAAGGTAAGAATTTTCCTAGTGCTAAAAGCACAGTTCTACAGAGGTTATAAAGCAGTAGGAGCGTAAGCACCTAAATGACTTTAAACAGGAAGGCAGAGATTCTCCCTCCCCCCCGCCCCGCCCCAGCATGAAACCTTGCTGTCAACAGGTACATTTTTCTCTTTAATGATAGCTCTTCACTGCTGTTATCAGGTGTCTTTAGGGTCAGGCTGGCCAAAATACATCGATAGTTCTGTATTTTCTGTACTGTCTCCTTCTCTGTTAGTAAAACAGCAAAAAGGGGTTGTGCATATTAAAAAGGTGGGGGTTTTTTTCCTCTCTTATGTGTTGTTGAGGACTGCATGCTTTGCAAGTTAGGTTATCCAAGCTATGGGATACACCACTGTTACTCATTTTCATGCTTTTATTTATTGCAAAATGGTTTCGGTCCCACCCCTGTCCTTTGGGAAGAACAGTAATCAGTAAATTAGGACTTCTTTTGCTTTTAGAATTTGCCCTTCCTCTTTGCTAGCTGGATGTCCGTATTATTTAAGACCATAGGGAGGGGACCTGATTTCAAACTTGCCGCCTGTCCCTGTGTCAAAGGAGGAAAAAGTAAAGCGTGTAGGCACGCATGCGTGTGTGTCTGCAAGTGGAGGCATCCTTGGGCATGCTGCTTTGTCAGAAAGGCACACAGCGTCTTTGAATTGTGTTTTCCCAACATTCATTGAAAAAGATTTTTGTCACTAGAATGAAAAATTAACTGATTTAAGCTCCCTGTGCTCTACCACCTTAAGGCCTTCCACGTCCGTGCCATCCGATCAGGTTGTTAAGAGTTCAGTAGAGTTGCAGGCAGGATGGAATCTTCTTTCACTGAGTCACGTGTCTTGAAGTGATTTTGTTGAGACATTTCTGGGTCTTCCATTTAGCCGTCTTGCCTAAAACGGGGCCTGAAATAAGCTCTTTTTTTTTTTAATTACTATGACTCAGTGTCTTGTTCCTCATTGCAAAGGGAATACTAATAGCAATTCCCTTGACAGGAATGGAATAACATTCTGTTTTCCTGTAGCCTTGGAAATTGCTATTGACAGCACTGTGTGACAGTTTGGGATTTTTCCTTAAAATTATTAATCTCTCACGCTCTGAGTGCCCATCACAAGAATTTTAAAAGCATAAACCAAAATAGGGATGCTAAGACTTTATAAAAAATCCAAATTTTCTCAGAGAAAATATTTCTCCCAAGACTCTGTTATACAGCCTTTACCATCCAAAGTCTTGCCAGCCCTGAGCTGGGGGTGGTGGATGCGACGGTAAGAATGTGTTTAGGAAACTTCTGAATCAGCTGAAGGACAACTCCAGAATACGAATGGTTGTGTGCCTGTTTTCTGCACCTTGATGTGCCCTTCTGTGTAGAGAAGCATTGCTCTAAGTCTGCCCCTTACCTTGCTGTTTTATCTTGAGACATGGAATGCATATTTTAACGTGATGTGGCATAAAGTTCAACTTTTTTTGCCTCCTGCAGTTTTGTTTATAATTCTGAATGATTTATAGATTTTTTTTTTTCCTGTCCTTACAGGTGGCCATGAGAGCACTTGGGTTTGAACCTAAAAAAGAAGAGATCAAGAAAATGATATCAGATATCGATAAAGAAGGAACAGGAAAAATCGGCTTCAATGACTTCTTGGTAGTGATGACACAGAAAATGGTAGGTAAATTTTAAAAGTCCAAGTGTAAGCAATTTTGAAAATGGCTGAGTACCTTCCACCTCCTTTCGGGTTTAGTGGAAGATGAAAGCACTATTTTAATCTTAACAACAAAATACATAAAAGTTAGAATTGCAAGACGGGGACTACCCTATCTTGTTTTTCAAGGTGAGGTTGAAATCATTCTGTCATTAACAAGTTTATTTAGCGATCAGTCAGAGAAAAAGGAAAAACTGAAATCAGGATTTTTGTCGCAGATTTAAACCAGCTCTGGCCAGCAGAAAGGTGTCGGGAGTATTGACGCGTGACATGGATGACTGTAGCAATGCACTGTATTTTCTTTTCTTGAGTTTTAAGATATTTACAGATTAAATCTCTGGTTTTAAAAGTCTTAGAACGTGTTGATTAAAACCAGATATTTAATAGTGGAAGATCCTGATACTGAAATCCCAAGGACATCTGGCTAGCTAGGAAAGAAAAAAACAATTCCCTGACACCGTGAGGGTCAGGAAGCATCACTGCGTCTCTGTCTGCCTTCAGCTGTTGCACGTATACTTCCTGCTGGCTGGGCTGCTTTAAATTTGCTCGTAAGAGAGTTTCTCAGCCTTTCCAATGCTTGTCCTTTATAACTTTTGACTGTTACCTACAACATAGCCACTACTTTTTTTTTTTTTTTTCCTTAAACTTATGCTTACTTCTTTAAGGCCGAAAAAGACTCCAAAGAAGAGATTCTCAAGGCTTTCAAACTCTTTGATGACGATGAAACTGGCAAAATCTCTTTCAAAAACCTCAAACGTGTCGCCAAAGAACTGGGGGAAAATCTCACAGATGAAGAGCTGCAGGTTTGTACCTGGTATATGAAACCTCATCGGACACAAGCACTCCCTGTCTGCCTTTGCGTGCAGCAAACAGAGAGGGGCCCGGATTAGGCTGTGGCCTCTTGAGTAGGCAGGCAGTCACAGAATGTTCACTGGTATTACTTGGTTTTATATTTGCACTCATTTAAAACCTGTGTGAATAGTCACAGTCTAATTCTCCTTCTGTCTGGAGAGCTGAGCCATCTCTCTGGCCGGTCCACTAAAGCACTAGAAAGGAATGGGAATCTCTCTCTCCGTGGGGAAGGAAGCCCCCTGGGGGTCAGTTTTTAGGTACAGCCTCCCAGTTTTAGGTGCTGTCCTCTAGCCTCCTGTGGGATCTTTGAATTTGAACTGGTAGGAAAATCTGTCCCCTCTCTCCTGGCAGAAATGGAACAGCTTCTGTCAATTCCTGGCGGGGGAATGGGTTCCGAGGTTGAAGATGGGTTAAGCACGCGTGGCTGTCGAGGTGGTGTCAGTAGAATTGCAGTTTGATGGAGTTACAGCGATGTGAAAGGAACAGCTCTGCTCCTAGCGCTTGGTTTCTTCCACGACAATTCCTATGACATGACATTTTCTATACAGATTTTTGTATAAATATATATACAAAAACATACTAGTGTCTAGTTTAGTAAATATGTTGCAGCATAGTAGGTCTGACGTGGAGCTAACGCTGTCCCCTCCAATGCAATTTACTAAGTGGTTGTTCTGATTCCAAATTAATGCAATCATTCTAATCCCAGTCTAACCTGCATCTAATTTCTGAATGCAAATCTCTTTCAGGAAATGATCGATGAAGCAGATAGAGATGGGGATGGGGAAGTGAACGAGCAGGAATTCCTGCGGATCATGAAGAAGACCAGCCTTTACTGAAACAGTTGTATTTATTTTTGCACATGTCTGTCTATGTTTGGTAGGTGCCTCACTTTTTTACAGTCTTTTATTTCTTTTGAGACAGCAGAAAATATAGGTCAATTTTTATTTTTTTTTTTTTAAGTGGATGATCTTAAACTTGTGTTTGTGAACAGTCACCAGCTGCCAACCTGTTTACATGCAGCAAGGTGGTTGTAGCTTGTGCTCCTTACGATGTTTACACTCTTTGTTTTCCATACACAAATCACATTTTTCAGTGACAGTATTTGGATGCTTCTCTGGCTAAAAACCATGTGTCAAAGGATTATGGTTTGGTAAAGAGAAGACTCAAAACCAGCTAGTGTAAATCTCTTATTTCTCAGCAGCTGGAACTTTCTGGTTTAATGATTTCGTTCGGACCCAGCTCTTTGCAGGGATCGGCTTTTTATACTCTTACGGTGGTTATCCCCTCACCCTTTTTTAGTATGTTCTTTAAATTGAAAAAAAAGTAACTAAACAAGCCTCCTGCCACTTAACTTACTGTTTAGTGCACACGTTTGAAGACATCTCTTTGCAAAAGGGGAAAGCTACCAGTGCTGCTGCTGCAGGCTCCGGCTGTCTGCAGGAAGGGCGGATTCCTCCCTCCCAGAAACTGAGCCCCTCCTGACTCAAAATCTGATTTAGCCCTTTGCAATTCTTCAGTCTCTCGTGCCCCTGTGTGGTAAAGTACCCCCATTACGGAAGACTGGCAAAATAAAATCCAATTTGAACATGAGCCATAGGTAGAGGAATGTGTAAGTGGCGAGGGGTACATTAAAAACTCTGGAGTATTTAATTTATCAGCCACGGTTAATTTAATTAATGAATGACGTGGATCAAGCGTTCTCAGAAATGACGTTCCGCTCGTCACAGGGCTGCAAGCACCGGGCCGGGCAGTGAATTTTTGGCCCTGAAACCGGTCGCCACCGGGCCGTGAGCAGGGCGCGGCCGCCCCGTGGG